CCTGAAAGGTAGATTTACTGTGGCTTTTATTAGCGGGCACTTAATTTAGGATGGCTTCTTCTCTTAGACTTGAAACAGCACGGCTGAAACACGCGCTGCACACTTGCATAGGGCTGCTTCGGTGAATGTCCTGCTCCAGACAGTGTTGTCTGTAATTAGCATCTTTGGAAAGATGCACTAGTGTAGCCTTTTGCTGTAGATTGCTTATTTTCAGTACTAGTATAGTTTTCTTCTCTGGAGGACTTTATCTCCTAAGCAATGTAAGTATTTTTGAAGTAAGTAGTTTTAACAGTCACTTACTTTCACCAGTGGTGAAACTGAGATTTTTTTTTTTTTTTACCTTTCTTTTTTTTTTTTTTTTTTTTTTACATTTGACTACTTGGGCAAGTAACTCCTTACTAGCAGACTAAAAGAATTTATCACCTAAGCAACTGGGTTCTGTTCTTTACTTCTGACTGTTACTCTACTCAATTTTAAACTGTGATCCAAATTATTTTTAGAAATTGGACATAGGAGTTATCTTTGTTCTTGTTTCCTCACTGTATTTTGTCTGGCTATGAGAAGAATGTATTTTAAAGAGGCATCTTCTCTTCTGAAGGCTGTATTCATATAGGTTTCATGACACACAAATGGCTATAGCCCCATCAATTATATGGCTGAATTCCTAAATTAGGCACGAAAAAGGAACAACTAAGCAAAATATATTGTATTCATTAAAGCTTCTCTACTATATGATTCACTTCAACGGCTTTGCCAATTAAAGTAATTGTCATATGCATTCAAACAAAGCATTTGTAGTAAGAGGCCTCGTTAGAAAAATATTGAAAATGGCTGTTTTATACATTTATATTACAAATACATAAAAAATATTGACATGTAGCACTTTTAAAAATAAGATGAGAGAAAATTTCAAGTGGAGAAAACATAGTCATGACTATATAAGTTTATATAATTTTGGTTATGTTTATTTCCAACATTATACCTGGGCATGCTGTCAAATTTCTACTAAAAATGGCAAGTATGTTTTGGACGCTGAAAGGCAGTGATTTCACTGTTAGTGTGACTCCAGCCAATGAAAACCAAATTACTGAGCAGGCTTCTTGCTTCCCAGCGTCTTTAGATTTCAAAATTAGGCAGGCTTACAATTTATATTGAAAAAAGGACAGATTAGTTATCACTGTTTAGATGTATCTGTATGCCAGTGAAATAACATAACGTTGCGCTGACATCTAACCGTCAACTAGGTTGCAAGTAAAACAAAAGTCATTTTCCTCTTACACTTGATAAAAACAGGCCTGGTGTGTTGTAACTGTTGTACTGCTCACTTTCAAGAGCTGAGGAAATATTTTAAATTTTACTCACTCATGAAGTTTGCAGTTTGTTAAATCCCATGCAATATTTATTTAGTCATAGTCTATAATGTTTACACAGAAGGCTATTCTGGGAAATGCTAATTTTTTTTTTTTTCTGATGGGATGAAATGAATTATATTTATCAGGAATTTGGAGAACAAGGAATGTTTGGCAGACTGTTTTCACAGATATAAATAAAAGCATTATCCAAGGCAACATGCCTAAATTAGGGTATGTTTCAAAGAGGTAAGAGGGAGAGAACATTTTTTTTTATTTAAGACTGCATAGGTCCTTTCATGTGAAAAGGTTATAGAGGAGGGAAGAATGGTGGAAAATATGTGAGAAAATTATATTAACTCCTTGGTAAGGCCTGAAATTACAGAACAGAGCAGTGAGAGAGCTGTGTAACTGTATGGCAAGAGATGTATCTGTGAGACAAGAAGGTTTGTATGTGCAAAGCATGAAAGGCTCAGCCCTACAAATTGTTTAAGCACATAGAGCACTTGGCTCCAAAGCGATCGATTATCTATGCTCGTTAAGTGAAAACATGAGCAAGGGGATGTCCAGGTCTTCAGAGTACTCCTGCCTCAAAGCTGCAACAATAGTAGGCTAAACCCTTAAACTGGGATGGATTTTTGTCTTGTCTTTTTGTATTGCTTATTCTTAGGTTCCTCCTACCCTTCCATAAATCAGACTACAAACTGTTTATCCCGAAGTTTTACCTCAAAAACAGCTTGTCCTTTTTCCACTGGCCTGTGTTCTGAGATGGTAAGTATAATGTCCCGCAGGATCTAACCTTCTGAGGTGAGGCTGTGAGGGAGAGGGCTGTGAGTAGCTCCATTATTAGGTTTGGGTTGTTCTGCACCACTCTGAGGCAAAGCAGTTGCCAAAACTCAGGTCACGCACCCAGTTACGCCAGGCTAGTAGCTAATTTGTGCCGCAGCCAAATGAAATGATCCCAGCGACCTCTAAGTGGGGTGTTTAACAACAAGGGACTTTAAAATGCCAGTAACCAACAAGTGGAAGCATATGCCAGCTTAAAAACTGGAAAAATGGTACATTGCAACTGGTCCCTAACAGTGGAATAGTCAGATCATGGAAATACAAGTTTGTCTGGACAGCATGTGCACATTTTCAAGACAATGTAATGAGTTTTCTTGCAACATCAGTGTGGTCAGTGCGGCTTAAACACAGACCTGTGCCTGGAACGTTGGTTAGGGTGGTCTTGCTGGAGCTGCTAGTAAAGAGCCTTGTGGCAGCAATGTGAGGAAGATCAGGAAACAGGTCAGGATACAGTTATCAAGATATATGTGCTCTTAGTGCGGCTCGTTTATCTTTACAAATTAAACCAGTATTGCAAATTGTGATTTATCAGAGATTTAGAAAAACATGTGCTGAGGGAACCATGCTGTTTCTGCAATTAAGCTTTAATAAATAATAATAATAACCAGGCTTTACTTTTGAGCCAAGAAAAATCTCTGGAACATAGGCTTCTACCCTGTCATCAAACAAAAGCTGAAATAGAATCAAATCCCAGAAAAGATACGTAAATTTTTCTGAAGCAAGTAGACAGTAAAGAAAATAATGATGAATTAAGTAAAAGAATGGACAATTCTTGGTCTCTGCATGTGTTTCCACATTTTTTAGGCCAGCACAATTGAATTATTCCAGAAATCATTATTCAGAATTTCAGATGGACTAGTTCCTATCGTGAGGCAGTCTTTATATGAAAGCAACATAGACATTTTAAAATCAGCTACAATTACAAGAAAATTTGTATTTATTGCAGTAAAAGTCAAGTCTCCTTTGGGATGGATTCGGAGTAATGGATGGCTCAGTCTTCTAATTTATCTAAGTCATGCAGCATTAGAAAAGCAAATTCAACATATTTACACATGAAGATCTGTGGTCATTTTTTAGAGGGCTGACGTGATCATACATCAAAGGGACTTGACCTTTGGAGCTCACTGCCTATCTATCAGTGTGAACCACTTTCTACTCGCCACTCACTTCCTTTGGAGACCATGGAAGGGAATGCAGCATGAAAAGTAAAAGGGGAACACAAAGGAAGGATATAAAACCACTACAAAAATGAAGAGGGGTTTTTTAGTTATTATTATTTAGAGGTATCAACTTTTATGCTTATATACTTGATAAAGAGTAATGAGTCTGAGTGCAGAGTTACAAACATCAATTCTCTTGCTCCTAAATGGAGGTCAGGAAATGAATATGCCATACATGTTTGGTTTGAATTCCCTTCATCCCCGTGATCATATAGATTTCCTCCTCACAAACTAGACTGTTTGCATCCTAGTTATCAGTTACTCCTACCGTCGGCCATCATGAGAAGAGTGCTTGGCTGTGAATCCTCCAGTTACTGGTAGCAGACTTAGGTTTCCTTCCTAAGACTCTAGTTTTAAGACTCAACAGAAACTATCACAGGATTTGATAGGAAATGATCCCTTGTGTTGCAAAACGTGTAATTTCTAATTCATGTTCAGTACATCCCAAGTATTCACCATTCGAAGTCTGCACTAGTCAAAATCTGTTGGAATCTTCTTTGTCTTTAACAGAGGCAGAATCAGCACCCAAAGCTTTGTTTAGCTATGCTGGCCACACTTACTGTTAAAGACCAGCAAGCTGATACTAAAGACAATATGCATAAGGTCTTATCTGTATTTAACATGGCAAAGCTTCGGTAAATGTACATGGTAGTTCCTAAAGATAAGATTTTTAAGGTCATTCTTAACTGCTGGTACATGTTTGTCAGATGTATGCTATAAGCACAACTAATTTTCATAAACCTATACTGTAGCTAAGGCAAGAAAATCATCCAAATCATCTGGGACAAGCAGAAAGCATGTTTCAATTCAAAATCACACAAATAGTTTGTAAATTAATCAGTGAAGAACTGTAGAAGATAGAGGTATAAAGACACCTGCCAAACACAGAGCAGTGACACGTTTCTGTCCTGGTGTGCCCCGAAGCAGCTTTAGCAGAGCTCGGTAGGAGGAGCTGGAGCTGGAGAGCTTCGAGACTTGATGCCCATTAGTGCCTAACCAAGGCACCCAAAAAACAAGTGAAGCATAAAGAGTTTATCCTTTTTCTCGGGCAGTTCCTAGGAAGGAAGATGGTGGTGGTAGGAGGGGGAGGAAGAGGTTCTTTCCGGAATGAGCAGTTTGGTGAAAAAAAAAAAAAAGTTGGCAGTTCCAATGCTCCTTTTACCTCGTTTAAGATATATATGTGGTGCCTTGTAAAGGGGTGGAAGAAGAAGCTTTGCTGCTTTAATTTTACTCCAGGAATAGGGAAGCTCAAGTGTCTTGGAATTATGAATTAAAAATTTATTAATAAAATTTCCTTGCTCTGCTGTGCCTGGGCCAAATTCCCCAGAAAGAAATTCTACATTGCCTGTTTCCACATCTGCTGTAGACGTTGGACTATGTATATATAGCACAAAAACATGCAGCTTAAGACAAACTGTGCTACTTCTGTACCATCTATCATTTCAGTTTAGTTTTGTATTCCTTAGAGACTCCTTTTAAAATAGGAAGAATCTTAGAAATTATTTTCTCATCTTCTGCTAAATTACAAAAGTCTGAACAACAAACAGACTGTGGCATTTTATATTTTCTTGGCAGCACTACTTACCATCCCCAGAAATATCATTTCCTCTTCTCTCATTTTCTCTGTTTTCTTGCGCTGGATATATCCACGCCAAACCTGAATTGTAAACAAAACTCTAATGAGAGAAATGGGCCTTGTTACAGCTTCCTTTACCAGGGCAGACATAGGAAAAAACAAATAGAGGAAGGAAAGGCACAATATACAATTCAAACTATTACTCTTTAGCAGGTTGCCATCTGCTTTTTTTTTTTTTAAAAAAAAAAGCCACCCAAATTTTGAGGTTTATTACCCCCTCACACCGGTGTATCTAACTTCTAAACATGACGCTATCAAGGTTTCAAAGAGTGTTTAGACGTAAGATTCAGAATGAGCTTTTTTCAACGGGTTGGATTATTTGAATTATTCACGTGTAAGGACTTTTTCTGGAATTTAGCAGTGATCTCCCCCTGTAATTTCTTCAGGATATGGAATGAACACACAGGAAAAGGCATGAATTCTCTGAGATGCGCTGGATTCCAAGGGGATGCCAGACAGAGCAACTGAGGTCATAAAAAATCAGAATGGAAAAACAACATGTAGGTTATAAAGTCATTCTGCATTGCCAGTGCAGGACTGTTTCCATTGATCTGGCATCTAGGGTCCTATCTCATTTTGTTAAGTCGTTTAAATGATGTATTTCACCTTGCTAAAAGCCCTGAAAGCTATCATTTCAGAATGCTTCACATTCTGTGGACAGTGTTTCTGTCTACTGCTGTTCTTCTGACAAAAATCATTGTCTTTAGTTCTGCCAAAACTGTTGTTAAATCAGAGATTTCACCTTTTGAATGCAAGTGGCAGCTTCATCTGGACTTGGACCAGTCTGGACCTGAAGTTTACTTGGTCTTTCTCTCTTATCTTGAGGGTAAATTTTCTTCATGAATGCTGCTCGACAACGGCCTTGGCGAGCCCGTTCTGAAACCTGGATCACTTTAACGGCTTCTTCAATTGTCATGGCCTTGTCAGGTTTCTTCAACAGCACAGCCAAAAAGGAACGGACAGAGCAAAGTATTAGTTACATATTTGGTTAATTGCCTACTTCAGCTGGCAAGTGAAACAACAAATGAACTTTTTTCAGAAACTTTCTAAGACAAAAAAAATGCTGTCACAAACAGCAGAAATTCCTGTCTCAGTACTATCTGGCAATATCTTGCAAGTCTGATATCCTGAGAGAGATGTGTTTTACGGAGGACCCTTCAGAGAAAGTGAACCTGATGTGTTGAAGCATGACAAGGAGAGCCTGATGCTATCGCGGGAAGCAAAAATGGCTCTATACGCATCCTGCTG